ATTAATAAATTGTTTTATTGGATTATTAATTTATTTTAGTTAATTTTTATAATTTTTTTTGTTGGAGTAATTCTTTTTTATTGAATTATTATATATAAATACATATGGTTTTTACTATATACTGTTTATATCATAATAAATATTATATTATTGGATTATTAATTTCTTTTATTTAATTTTTTAATTCCATGTTTTAAAATTATTTTTTATTGGATTATTACTTGTAATTTATTATTTTCTTCATATACTAAATATTATTTTATTGGATTATTAATTTATTTTTAATGTATAATATTAGTTCTTGTTAATTTTATCGATTCCACCACAAAGTCGTGGAATACGTAAAATTGTCGTCTCTTATCATCGAAAACGTCAGGATCACTGTCAAATACATTCATTGCAGGTAGCTTATAATAAGAAACCATATGGAAAACATCACCACCATCACCCGGTCATTGCCAAACACCTTTATGATGAGAAGCGACATTTTTGCCTATTTTGACGATTTTATGGTGAAACTAATAAAATTTAAAAGAATTTATAGTATACATTAAAAATAAAATAATAATCCAATAAAATAATATTTATTATATGAAAAATAATTATAAATTAAAAGTAATAATTCAACAAATTAATAAATCAAAAAAATTACAAAAAATAACTAAAATAAATTAATAATCCAATAATATAATATTTATTATGATATAAATATTATATATTAAAAATAATATTTATTACCAAAGAGTTTCTAGCCTAGTGATATCCGATGTTGCCCTCCTTCTTTGAGGTTGAGGGTTCAAGTCTCGTCATTGATATAACTGAATTTAAGTAGTTTAAGAGTAGATTAGATTTACGGTTTCAATATATATATATATATATATTATATATATATATATATAAGATCGGGTGAGGATTTATTTTAAAGTGAGGACACCTTAAAAAAATTGAAAAAAAATCAAATCATAAAATGGAGCATAGATCTATATCCGGGAGAAAAAATTTGTAAAATTTTTTTTTTGGATCATTAAAATTGAATTATAATGCAAAATAAAAAATTTAACTTTAATCATGGATCAATTTTAATGATGTAAAACAAATTTTCCATTTTTTTTCTCCCGAACATAGATCTATACTCGATTTTATGATTTGTATTTTTGTTAGATATTTTTTTTCAATCTTTTTAAAGTGTACTCAGTCATGAGTACTTATTTTAAAATGAGTAGTCACAGAAACCAAACTATATATATATATATATATATATATATATATATATATAATATATATATATATATATATATATATATATATATATATATATATATATATGCGCTAAGGAAATATGTGGTTATTATGTACCTAATATTAGGTATAGAACAATAAAAAAAAATACATAGTTTTAACAATACGCAAACAAATCTTTTTACCATCCTTCTTGTATCCTCTATAAGACTAGTTGATAGACTTTGTACATATTATTATGGAGTTTTAAATATTTAATTTTGCACCACAAACCATGTACAATAATACATTATCAGTTATCTATAAATCTTCATATTCAAATTTAATATAGAAAACTAGAGTGAAAGATTGAAATTATTCATTAAAACCCAATAAACTTCTTCCCATAAAACATCAAAAAGAACAATGCAAGTATCAATAGAAAGAACATACCAATGAACAAAAATTGTGTTTTTTAAACAAAATGAAGTCAATTATGATGGTTCTATACCTAATATTAGATACATGACAGCCACATATTCACTTTTCCATATATATATATATATATATATATATATATATATATATATATATATATATATATATATATATATATATATATATATATATATATATATATATTATTTTGTAAATATAATAATCTCATAATATAATATTTATTATGATATAAATATTATATATTAAAAACTATATGTGTTTGTATATAATTATTCTATAAAAAAGAATTTCTTTAAAAAAATCTAAGTAAGATAAATTAATAATCTAATAAAATAATATTTATTAATATATAGTATTATATATTAAAAATAGTATTTATTAATATATAATATTTTAATAAAATAAAAAAGAATGTATGTAAAAATGATTCATTAGAGTATTTTCATTTTAATAAAGTTAAGAATAAATTATTAAAGTTAATGAAAAAAAAAGACCAAAACTTACTAAAAAAATCTCCGGAAAAATTTCAATATTTTACCATAATTTATGAAAAAATCTCAAACTAAAATTTATTTATGAAAAAGTCATAATTGCCGGTAAAAATGACGATTTGACTATATTTTTCCGTTTTCATCATATAACCTTTGGCCCTATTTTCCGATTTTCATTATATAACCGATTTTAATAAAATCTTATTATTTTACCATAATTTATGAATAAATTCCAAATTATGGTAAAATAATATGAATTTAATGAAAATTATAGTAAAATAATAAGATTTTAATGTTTTCAGGTAAAATGAAACCGATAAACCAAAAAAATAGAACTAAATCATCATTTTTACCGATTTTTGGAACTTTTTTATAAATCAATTTTAGTTTAAGACTTTTTCGTAAGTTAGGGTAAAATAATAAGACTTTTACTGTGTTTTCCCTATTAAAAACCACAAAATCTAGAACTTTTCAAACATTTATCCACATAAAATAAAAAAATTCTATAGACTATTTTGCAATTTTGTCTAAATATTAAATTATAATCGTACCACTAAAACACGGAAGAATACAATATAAAGGCAAAATACATGGAATTTGGCCAAGAAAAAAACCACCAGCCAAGTTACATTTCTACCCTAGCCCACTAACATTAAGAAAAAAAACAAACTACAAAGACCTTCAAATTTACGAAACTATCCACTGACGAGGAAGCGTCAAGCCCTGCAATTACCAAAAAAACTCGATTGCAGTAACTAAACTTCCCCAGTAAATTACAAATATACCCTACTAAAGCTACTACTAGTTGTACCATATGTAGCAAACGAAGAAATAAACGATAACATCAAATAGAATCCCAATCGATCTCGTACGACGGGAACTTTTCCAGCAAGAAATTTTCAGAATCACACCACGCGCTTTCTTCCACTGAGAAATCAGCAAAGGTAAGTCCCGACGACGGCGAAGAATCCCCGCAACCGGACGCTCCTTCTCCGTCACTCTCGGAACCTGCAACCTTCACCACTTCCGCCTGCTCTGCCGCCTTCTTCGACTTTCCCGAAGACTGTCGTGACTTCTTACAACCATCGATGCTCTTCCCCTCTGCCAAGATCTGACAAATTTCCTGTAACTTGGCGTCAACGGGAAGAGTGGAGTGGCTTGTAGTCGCCACCGGTATGAGACCAGTTGTGACGGAGATGAGGAAAATTGAGCCGCGCGTTTTCACCACGCAGCTTGTATGCGGCGTTATCGTAGGCCAGCGCGGCTTCCTCTGCTGAATCAAAGGTACCTAACCAAAGCCGGGTGCGGTTCTTGGGCAATCGTATCTCGGCGACCCATTTTCCCCAGTGACGTTGCCTTACACCCCTGTAAAGCTTCGTGGGTTTTGGAGGTGACCCAGATTGCTTCATAGGTACGGGTTTCGGACTGAATTGGGTTCCATTCTTGGGGAAGTGGATCTGGGCTTGAATCTGGTGGATCTGTATTGGGGTAAATTGGTTTAACCCTACTGATGATCCGGGTTGTTCATAATAAAACGGGTCTGGGGTAGAAAACCCATGTAAGTAACAATCCGGGTACGATCCGAATTGTTGTTGGGTCGTAGAGGAAGGAGAAGGTGAAAAATACGAAGAAGGTAAAAAAGACGAAGAGGGGCATGAATGAGATGTAGAAGGAGAAGGATGGAATGAAGAGAAAGAGAGGGTATTTTGGTAATCCACCGAAGCACTTTTGTAAAAAGGTTCAAGTGCTTCCATGAGCTCACCGCCTGCCGACGACTGCTGGAAACCTCCGGTAGTGTTCCAGAACTCCATTGTTGCTGACGTCATTAATCTTCTTTTTTTTTTAAATTTTCGGAGAAATAACAAAATAATAAAAACCCAGAATAATTAAGGTTTTCAAATAAGCAAACCTTCTTTTCTGAAGAAATCAACCTTAAAAGGACGAAAATAAGCCTGAAAAGGTGTGATTTTTGACGAAAATAATGAAATTTAAAAAAATTTACACATACATGAAAATAAAGTCGATTGAAATAGAACCCAAATTAAAAGAGATGGATCTCTATTCTGAAAACACCTTGTTGAAAAAAAAAATCCCAAATCAAGTTTGCTTTTTTGTTCTTGATAAATCCATGAAAAACCCAGAGAAAAGTCAAATTAATTTCAATTTTTTTCTTAAACAGATGATTTACAGAAAGGGAAACACAGAAGCGGGGAATTCAGAGGGGGGAAACAAGAAAGAACTTAAAGAAATTCAGAAGAAAAAATTTCAAGAAATCTTTTAAGTGTGTGTTTTAGTGTGTGAGAAAAGAACTGTGGATCTAACCTGTTTGTTTGAATGTGAATTGGTTCAGAAGTGGGTGGCTCTCTATTATAGGGGTATGGATATGTGGAGCCCACTTGGGGTTGGATTAACACGGGTTCAACCTATTTTACTAACCACGGTTAAGTTATTTTAATTATAATTTAAGAATTATCTGTAACTACGGCTACTCGAATGATGTGTGAGGATAGCAGCCAGTAAAAAGGTGACACGTGTGTGACAATGGTTTCTTGCTTTCTCGAAGTTTCTAAAAATAACAAAAAGAACCACATTAATTAATTTCTGAAAGCTATTCAGAAACGAAATGAATATTGTCAATTAAATAATACTGAATACCAAAATAAATTGTAACCAACAATCTTTAAAAAAGAAAAAATAACTTATTGCTTTATTGCTTTGTAGGTGAATGCATGCAGCTGTTACCCTAGTCAGACATACCACGTGCTCTACGCGTGGTCCCTTCGTTTACTGCGGAAGATATTCTTTGCCACGCAATACCCACGTCAGCCAATCACATGAAGCCTATATTTCTGTTCATCGCCGGGTGTAAAAACTCATTTCTACCATATAGTCGAATAATTCATATAGTTATTAGTTTTAATATATAATAAGGTCATCCGTGTCATTTACGGAATACTTGTAATGGTTAAAACATTATAGACAAAGGAATGTTAAGATATGTTTACGTCTAACGACAATCTATGTATGGTCTTGCTTTTGATCCTAAAAAAGACACCAAAGATCAAATTCTGAAAATTCAAAGTCAAGCATGTTGCTCTTCAAATTCAAAATCTGTGCAAATTTTGAAACAAAACAAATCTTAACGATTTCATTTTACTATAAATGACAAAATTGTTTGTAATCATCTAGTTTTTTATAAGAATATTTAAATCAAGACTGAGAAGAGAATTGGAATATAAAATTCTAATATCTGAACCCATTTAGTCATCCATTATACAACCGAAAAAAATGGAGAAACATTTAACAGTAACCAAACACCAAACACCGAAAAAACAAATCAATCAATTAAAATTCACAAATGTTTAAGCAATCAAGCATGCTCCTGGAAATACTTCTGAAAATTTATAGTTATTCTACTATCGACTATAGCGAATTATTTCTAATCGCTTGTTGTGAGCATTTGAAATAGAAAGAACAAGCTTCGAAGCTCTATCGATTAATCATCAGAAATACAAACTTGTAACTTACATTGATACAGGGACATAACACTTACACCCATAGAGAGTACTTGATATGTGATTATATGAAGAATAAATATATGCATAAAATTATAGTGTTCTTTACCGATTGATTCATTTTCTGCTATTGCAAAATATGCAGGCATTGGATAATGGCCAACATATGATGCATAGTTGTCTCTTTGGATATTAACAACCTATTCACTTTAACCATATATATATATATATATATATATATATATATATATATATATATATATATATATATATATATATATATATATATATATATATATATATATATATATATAGTTTCAAACAAATTATCAAAACAAATGAAAGGACAATAAATAATATGCATCTACATATTGCCCCTATTGGTATATGTTAAGATTTTCAAATTGTCCAAATGTTGCAATGTCATTTGTAACAGATTTCTTGGATTAGTATCAAATCAAATAATAAAATAAGTAGTTATAAATAACTAATTTGAGAAACCACAATAAAAGTTATATCAGTGCATACATCCATGTAGTAATTATATATAGTGAGTATTGAAGAAAGTGTGCTTATTTGTTTTGTAATGTAATTTATAGAATGTAAATTTTGAGACAATCCATCTTATTGAGTTAGCAACTAAACTATTTTTTGTAATGATTATTTTATATTTTTTCGATTATTTAGATTTTTTTTCTTGGTTATCTCAATTACCATATGAAAGCAAAATACATAAAAGGACAATGTATTTTCTTTGTGATGTCAACATGCTAACCATTACAAAATGTCAAATTTTCACGAAACTGTCTTTGAGCATACATGTTAACTGACCCACAATACAACTATAAGTACCTAAACAAGAGTATGTCAAACCATTTCAAAGGGAAAATGATTTACAAGCCCAACGAAGTTTTTAAAACTGTTCAAAAAACACAAATCAAGTTTTGTCTGTCAAAAAAAACCCAACGAACTTAACATTTTGTATAAAAAGTCAAACTAAGTTATACTTTCCTAAAAGTCAAATAAGAGAAATAGATGACGTGACTTATTACGGTATCGGGAAAATGACTTATTAGACCAACAAAGTTTTCAAAATGTTTAAAAAACTTCAATCATATTTTGACTATTCAAAAAAAACCCTAATGAACTTAAACAAAACAAAATTGAGATTTTTTGAATGGTTTAGAACTTTATTGGATTTTTTAGACAAAAAGTTAAGTTTGTTGGGTTTTTTTGAACAGACAAAACATGATTGAGATTTTTTAAATGGTTTGGAAACCTTGTTGGGCTTTTAAGTTATTTTCCTATCAAAGGTTTTATGCAAAAGCAAACTTTATTTGTTAGCTCAAAGGGCTTCTTGAAAAAAGTTTGAGCTTAATTCAAGAAATATTCCAATTCCGAACACTGTGTCAATATTATGATCAAACTGAACCTCAAATCTACTCGAATCAAAGTGAAATAATATATATATATATATATATATATATATATATATATATATATATATATATATATATATTACAAATAGTTTGTAACATAGATCGAACCTCAAATCTACTTGAATCAAAGTGATAGAGATACATTGAACCCTAGATGTGTTGTTGCTAGTGAAAGAAATACATGTAAATCAAAAGAAAAACCTACAAATCAAATGGGGAATAAACAGTTGGAAAAAAGGGGATTATGTGGGTCTTCTTCTCGGTGCTCTCTTGAATCCCAAAATCTTTATCCGCAAATACAATAAGAGAAGTTTGTTGTGCAGAAGGAATGGAATTAAGAGAGAAAAATAGAATTGGGAAAAATAGAAATATCGAGGGAATCTCGAGTCCATCTAAGTTGCATCCGATACTTTTCTCCCATAGTCAATGACTTGTTTTTTTTTAGAAAAAAAGTGATAAATACCTCCTCAAGCACACCTTTCATGAGCCGCTAATTCTTTTAAAGTTTATTGTTTTTGTACAATATTTATTCCACAACTTAATTTTAAAAAAATCCGCCCATTTTGCTCATTTTTAAACCAGTAGACTCTTTCAAGTTTGCAAAAGGAAAACTAATGTAAATATGTGGATGGAGGAAAGGAGTAACAGATGAAAGAGATGCAACAATTACCTTAGTATTCGGTCTTAGGGCTCGAAAATCCATCAAAGCATATGAATAATGTTGATTAAGAACCTGAACTGAAATAAGATTGCAAATTTTTCAGCTGCGTACTCTCTTTCTTCCTTTATAATTCCCTCGGTTGATTTTTATTGGGAAATATGCAATTTTTTTTTGGAAACCCCTAAGTAAATCACGTAATTTACCATATGAAAAACCCTAGAGAAATCGCACAACAGATTCAAATGGAATGAGTTGATTCTTTATGGTGGAGTGTTTCTCCCAATTTTACCAACAATGAGGAGACGAACATGTCAACGACATCGACAAACATGTTGAGAGGTGAACTTAATTTGGGAGAAAAATGAACGACCGGAAGTAGGAATGTAAACGAACCAAACGAACACAAACAATGTCTTATTCATGTTCGTTCGTTTAAGTTAGCCGAACAACAAACGAACACGAACGGATAAACGAACGAGATTTTCTTGTTCATGTTCGTTCGTTTAACAAATTACTTTGTTCATGTTCGTTCATTTATGTTCGTGAACATGCTAAACAAACATAAACAAACAAAGATAAAAATAAACACAATTGAACATATATGAACATAAACGAACATACAATATAGCAATATAATAAAAAATAATTGAATATAGATGAATATAAATAAACTTAAACGAACAAATATAAACGAACGTAAACAAACACCATAAACGAACGTTCATGAACATAAATGAACGAACGAGACCATTGTACATGTTCGTTCATTTAACTAAACGAACGATAATTTTTGT